TCCCTACCTTTCTATAGCCATCCTCTTCCTGGGTGTTGCCCCCCCCCCTCGCGCCGTTCCACTCAAGAGAAGAAAATCCACCCCGACCCCCATAACTGGCGTTTGCTAAACGCTCCTGGGCGTTTACTGTACACCCTTGCCATGCTCGATCCCGTCCCTAAGGGAGTGTGCTTAGGGGCTTCGCTTGTCAGGGTGTTTTTTGAGGTGGTGCTTTTCCTGCCCTCGATTCACAGCCTCCCGGCCCGCTCACGCACCTCGACGCTGCCAACGCCCCCGCGCACGCCGCCGTGCCGCTCCTGGTGTGCCTCCTAGAGCGCCTTGTACGCGAGCCCCTCGCGGCCCTCCTGCCCCTCTCGTTTTTATCCTGGCCCTGTCTAAGAAGAGGCGAAACAGGAAGGGGTACGGATGAGGAGGCTGAAGAGTTGCTCCCATCGTGCGCCCAGCCCTTGGGCAGCAGTCGGGCGCGGCTGCGGCAAGGGGATCGGCTACGGCGCTTCGTCCACGCGGCAGGAAGGGGGATGAATGAGGACGAGGAGGGGAGAGGAGGAGCAGTAGGAGGAATGTTGATAAGGAGGAGGAGGAGGAGGAGGAGGAATGAGGAGGAGAGGTGGGAGAGGGGGGAGGAGCAGCTGGAGACCACACGCAGTGTGATCGAGAAGGGGTGGTGCAATGTTGGCCAGGTTTGCCGAGTACGCCCCGCCAAGGAGTCGGGAATTGACTTTGCTTGCATTGTAAAGGTAGGCCTCGCCAGGCCCATCAGAGTCATGGGTTAACGTCGTGAACTCTTGGTTGCGTCGTAAGTGGGAGGCTTACGGCAGTGCGAAGAAAGGCGCGAGTTTGTAATGCTTCTGCTCCCCCCAACGGACTGCGGCGAGAAGGTGCTGTCCCAGCTTCTGGATGGGTGCCCCCCCAAGTCTCAAAGCCTTGCCAAACGAATCAGGCAAGGGGTTGGGAGCAGAGGAGTAGTTTCGCGCGTACCCACCCCGTGGATTAGTGGGTTGCTTCACCATCTCGCCAATGCATCTCTGACTTGCACGGCTCTCTCTCTCTCTCTTCCTTTTTTTGTTGCTCTCTCTCTCTCTCTCATTATCTTGTTTTGTTTCTCTCTCTCTCTCTCTTTCTCTCTACTTCTCTCGATCACTATTCCTCTTCCTATAGTTTTACAAGCCCGGGGGGGGGGGGGGGGAAATCCCCCCCCCCCAAAAAAAAACATACCCCCTGGATCCGGGGCTTCCAGGCCCTCCAGACACCCCTGCCGAAGATGCCCCGGCTCGTCCCGGACCTCCCCGGGCGCTTGGCCGGGTCTTGCCAGCAGGCCCCGGGCGATCAGAGCGGTGATCAGAGAGGCCGAAAAGATACCCAAGACAGCACAAGAGCGCTCCAAGAAGGAGCCAGATGGCCTCCAGAGGCCCCTAAGACTGCCCAGGAGGCCCTGAACAGGAATCCCAGGACGCAAAAATCGCTTCATTCCCATCGGGAAACGTATATTTACAGCATATTCGCTGTTCGGGTCCTGGCAGCGTCCATGAAGGCCTCCGGTATCGCCCGACTGCCCAAGAGACCCCCAAGAGAGCCTTTAGACGGCCTGGATGGCCCCAAGACTGTCCAAGGAAGCCCCAAATTGGCCAAAAAGATGTCCAACAGGCCCTCACAAGGCCCCCAAGAGAAGCCCTACGGGAGGCCTCCAAGAAAGCCATGGGAGGCCTACAGGAGGGCCCACGCAGCCCCCGCAAGGTCCCCAGAGGGCCCAAGCTCCCCAACACGCCCCATGATGGCCCCAGGACGGCTCCAGAGGGTTCCAAGCCGGCCAACCAGGGCTCCAACAAGGCCCACACCGCGTATTCCACCAACTGACCCGAATCCCGCGCTCGCAACCACATTTCCCGGAAATCTTTTGCAAATCCGGGATTCGGTGCATTCCCCAAGAATTACCTCCTTTTCGCGTGCCACGTTGTGACCCGCTGCAACATGACATCCTCGGCTTGGCATTGTTGTGACTTGGCGGCGTTGCTTGACATTGCGTCGGTTTGCTTGGCATTCATTCGCGTGACTTGTCATTCCTTTGCATTGCGCACAGGTGCACCTCAGCGACGTGCGGCCCAATGTGCGCCAGACACCTCCTCCTCCTTCTTCTTATCATTATCATCCCCCCCCCTCCTACCCCTCATCCTCATCCCTCCTCCTTTTCCTTGTTCGCCTCCTCATCCTCATCTTCCTCTTCTGCCTCCACTTCCACGACACGCGCGCAGCCTTGCGGCGAGAAGGCCGCCCTCGTTCAACAGGTCATGGGCGAGTGCAAGCAAGGACTAGTCCCACATGCGTCCCGACGTCTGCGTGGCCCAGGTGTCGGGATGAACTTGGCACACGCACTTCCTTGATTTTTACACGCATACCAACAGCAACATTACAGGCGAACGACGACGTTGCGCCGCCGAATACACCACCACCACCGCACGGCACTTCGAGTTCGCGAAGAAAGTTCGGAGGGGCACCCGTGACGGGTGCTTTGGCGACCAGTAGGCTGGTTGCCGCCGCTGATGCCGAATTTGGGTTGCGAGGCGACGAAACGAGCAGACTCGCAATGACCACCTCTGGGGCCAGATCTAGCGAAGGCGAGAGGGGCATCCTGTTTGGGATTTGGTCGGCTTCACCTTCCTGCTAGTCCGCCTGCATACCAAACTTCAAGGACCAAGGTGCATGGCGCGAAGCGCCACTGCAGTCTTGTATCTATATATATATACACACACATATATATATATATATATATATATATATATATATATATATATATATATATATATATATATATATATATACATATACATATACACATACACATACACATACACATACATATGCATATACATATACGTATACATATACATATAGAAATACATATACATATGCACATACATATACATATACATACACATACACATACACATACACATACACACACACATACACATATACATACATACATACATACATACATACATACATACATATACACATTATATATACACACCTCGGCCCCGGGTCCCACACCTCCCCGCCACATCGCGGGAACGCTCCCGGTACCACTCCCCCGGCCTTTCCGGGGAGCCTCCCCAGCGCTCCAGGAGGACCCAAGACGCTTGGGATGGCCCAAGACGCTTCCAAGCAGCCCAAGTCAGCCTTCCGACGGCTCGCGAGGCTCCCAAGTGGCCTCCAAGAGACCCCAAGAGAGGTCCGAGAGGCATCCCGGGACGGCCCAAACAGGACAACACCGTTGGTTTTGAATGGTTGTTTCGCTGTTTTTGGCCTTGTCGCGTTTTCGAGCTTCCAACGCTCCAAGAACGCCGAAGAGCCGCCCAAGACCGCCCCAAGACCACCCAATAGACCCTCAGGACGACCCCAAGACGGGCCAAGAAGGCTGCAAGACTGCCGAAGAGGCGCCCAGGACAGCCCCAGACTACCCCAGAACAGGCCCAAGATGGGCCCAAGAGCGAGAGCAGGAGGCTCCCAGAGACTTCCGAGAGGCCTCCGGCACCCCCCAGAGGCCCCCAACACCCCCGATCCTTGAGAGGCCCCAAAAAGACCCCGACGAGGCTCCAAGAACAGCCCAAGAGAGCTGCGAGAGCCGCCCCGAGAGAGGCCAATGAGGGTAACATCGTTGATTTCAACGGTTTCTCTTATGTCTTTCGCCTTTTCACGTTTTCCCGTTTCCAACCCTCGAAGACAGAGGAGCTTGAGAAAAAAAATCAAACAAACAAACAAAAAACCTTTCCTTTTTCGAAGGCGGGACTCCTACTCGGAGATCCCACACATCCCCTGACATCCGGCCAGTACCGCGCCTCCCGGCTTCCCGGAGGGCCCCCAAGAAGCCCAAGGACGATCCCAAAGAGCCCCCAGAACGTAAATAACTGCCCAACACGCTCCCGCCAGGAGGCCTTGAGAACCCCCAGGGGGTCCGGAATTTCCCACACCCCTGAGGGGCCCGGCTAACAAAACCCGCGAGGCACAAGCCAAAAACAGCGCCGAACAGCGCCGAGGAATTGGAAAATCATTGAAGTTCCACAATTGTTGTTTTTCTGGTTTGTCCCCTGGTCTACTCTTGCACAACAGACCACAATTCAGACCCCGTCACGTCCCAAAAAAGAAACCCAAGAAGCCCTTGAGGGCCCCAAATCGTTGAATACCTCAAGGAAATTAATAATTTCTTCGTTTCCGCATTTCCCCTTCTATACGAGTCCGAGGCTTGCGCAGGGCTTCCAAGCGAGCCTCTGGACGCAAGAAACGACCACAACGATATTACATGAGTTAGCCTATCAAGTCTAGCTAGAACTTGAGCGCAAGCGAAGCGCGCGCGACGGTTCTAGTATGTGTGTTTATAGACATGCATGCATGCATGCATGCATACATATGTCATACATATGTCATACATACATACATGCATACATACATACACATACATGAATGTTCACATACATGCATGTCTATAGCTATAGACATTTGTATGCATACATGTATGCATATATGTATGTATACAAGCACACACATGTATCGTCCCCCCACTGTGTTCAGATCTCAGGATGCGGAGTGAGCGCCAGGAGGACCAGCGGAGCGGGAGAGAAAGGAGGGAGAAACAGCAGCAGGAGGCTCACCCATCCTCCGTCGCCCCACCCCCAGGCATCCGATGTCTTCACTTCTTCACTGCGGGGCCCCTAGAAGTTTCGACCCTTTTCCCGAAGCGGCGTCTTCATCACGAACCGTTTTCTGACGGCCCCGAGGCCCGCCGGGGGCCCCCAGAGGCCGAAAACAGCCAAAAATTGTCCGCCTTGATTGTGTCGTTCCCTCCTTCCTCGCCTGGCCCCTGCTGCCTCTCAGGACCTCTCTTTCCCTCCTGTCCAGGCCTCCCGAAATCGTGTACGCATCGCCGATGCATCGCCGATTGGGCATGATCCTCCGACACGATCTGCTCCGACCCCATGTCCGAGGCCCCCCTGCCGCCCTCGGAG